GGGGCGGAGCTTATAAGCGGTAGTTAGCGGTATGCTATTTCATAATGAAATGAGTTTCCGCTGAACAGAGTGACCTTGTTGCCGTCATGCTGCAGAATAACTGGTCATAAAAATCTCTAAAAAAAATTGAAAATAGCGGGTGAAATGTTCACAGTTTGTATTCACAGTGGAATCCCGCTTTTTCGAACCTTCAAAAGAAACGAAAATTGGTTCGAAAAATCGGATAGACTGAGAAATCGGGGGTAAAATCAAAGAGTTTGACTAAGGGAAACGACTTTCGGTTCGAGTTATCGGGAGGTTCGAAAAACTGAGGGTTCGAGAAATCGGGAGTCCACTGTATTAATTTTAACTAACCACTGACAGAAGCCTGGGCGGCTGAAAAGACAAGAATCTAGAATCGAATTGTATTGTCATGAACATAACAGTCATTATGTGATACTATATATATCTATGGCATTAATTCTGTCATCACTGATTATTACGAAATCTCATGAGGTAGATACAGATGCAAGACTCATCCACATTTTTCTTTTTGTCACTTCTAGCTTGTTGAAGACCTCCTGGCAGCTCGTCTTGTCTGTGTTTAGTCAAACGGACTTACAGAAATTGGAATCTCCCACTAGTTTCACCACGGATGTTGTGGCAGCTCTATATTTGATATTCTTGGTTTTGTCCGTTATAATGTTGATCAACATGTTAGTGGCTTTACTCAACCACACATACGACAATGTCAAGGTAGGATCAACTCATAGCAACCATATTTTTCTATTAATACTGTGCCCTTCCACGGTACTAAGCTACATGAACAACACCGACCCAATCCTTACAGCTGCAAATAGTAGAATCGTTAATCACAGTGCAAAATTGCATAAACATGAGGCAAACGGAGGAGAAAATGTTAATTATTAACGAGTTATGCTTCGATAAAAATAGAATTAACTTTATTTACTTAGCCTGGGAGATGACTGGCATTTCAGGCTAAGTACTCCTGTACTAATTGTGGACACCGAAAACAATCAAACATGATTTTTCTCAGGATACAACAACATCAAATCGAAAAGCAATTACTAAGCAATATTAGTTATGTTATTCCCTTCGTTTTTCCTAGACCAATGCAGAAGTTGAATGGAAATTTGCAAGGGCTGTTGTTGAAAATCAATACAGGAATCTACATTGCATTGTTGTGCCGTTTAACTTGCTGACTGTTCCAATCGTATCGATGTACTTCAAAGCCAACGGTAACTCTCGACAGGAGGTACTAAAAAACTTCATTTCTTGATTTAACATTTGTTTGTTTGTATTTCATTCAAGAAGTATAGGTAATCACTCGGTTTCGAGTTCAATATGGAATCAATTTGCACGAGTGAGTTTTTCAAAAAGCGAGCCGCTTCGGCGAGTGCAATTTCAGCTTTTTTAAAAACTCACAAGTGCTAACTAATTCCAAATTGAACGAGAAAAACCGTGTGATTACATATTAATAATATAAACATGAAAAAATTCGCGTGGAGGAAATGCCGGAAGATCTTTCTTGAAGCCATTTTTTCTCATTCGAGAAAACTTTTTTCAAAGT